AGAAAAAACAGCACGCGGAGGGGGCGGAAGATCTTCCGCACAACTTCAGGGGAGGAGGGAGACCTGTATGAGAGCGTTTTTTTGGTGGGGGGGGTCCAGGGACGTTCAGGAGGGCGTAGCAGCAAGAGAGGTCTGCATCTGTTTTTTCCTTGAGCCAGAGTGCGAAACGGACAAGCACTCTGTATAGATTGTCTCTGGCTGCTGGAAGGAGTCAACAAAACAGGAGTGCTGTAACACTCGTCCAACTTCTTCTAGGTTTAGCTATCATAACGGACACGCGCGCGTCGGGATGGAAGCCGGGCCCCCTGGGTCCAGGGACTTAATCACCGCCCGTGCGCCTTTCAAAAATCAGAAACTGCACAGCGGAGAAATACAGTGGCATATTAGGAAGAGACTATTGAAAGGGAGACGAATGGTGGGAGAAGGGAGAGAGAGTTCGTGAGGGGCCGCGCCGACCATGCCACCAACCCTGTACCAGGGCACCCTGGACGCAAGCAGGGTGCTTCTTGGCATGGGTCTCCAATGTAGAGCCCACCCGTAGCAGAAGGATGCGCGGTAAGGATGCACGGGCCTTGGAGGACCCCGTGAACGCTGTTCGAACGAGGCTGGCCAGCGAAAGTCGCGAAGGATGGGCCGCAGGGACAAGAATGCAAGGGTACCATACAGTCTTGGCGTTGACTTAAGGAATCCTAAATAAGGAACGAGGCCCCTCCCTCTTCTTCCATGAGTTAAGCTTCGATTTCCCATAGCAAACCTAAGGAAAACCAAAGGCCAACTGCGAAGCTATTAAGGAACACGGAGCCCCTCCCCAACGCAAAGGGTTCCTTCTTCAGCGCCCCGACTGTAGGAAGGTTGCCCATCCTTACCGTGCGGGTTGACTGTATCGGGGAGACGTAAGACTCGGGTTCGGGGGACTCGGGCTGGCCTGACGGGACCACCAACGAAAATGGCCACACCCCATTTTAAATTTGACGCGAGCTGCCGCTGCAAGCATCCCACGAAAACTGGACCGTCAAAATCCAGGGCGTGCCCGTCAAAAGCACACGTCGGCCTAACCCGAGTTCCGGCTCACCCGAGTCGTACGCTTCCACTATCACAGCAGTCCTCTCGAGGATCCCCTGTGAGCTGTCCTGGGGCGCGCCCGGGGCCCCTTGGACAGCCTGGAGGCCGTCTTGGGGCGCCGCGGGGCGCTCTTAGGCTTAGGTCGGACCTGTCCCCCTACAGGGTGATTTTTGAAGAAAAATAAAGAGATGCTCCCAAAAAATCAAAACGTATTCAGAAATATTCAAATCGTCCCCAGACTATGTTTCTACTATCTTTGAATTTTCCCCCTGTAGAGGGACAGGCCCGACTTAATCGTAGGCATTCTTGGAGCTCTCTGGGGCCGATGTTGGAGCCTGTTTGGGGCGGGCTGGCGCCTCCCTCGGTACGTCCTGAAGCTCTCGGGCCAGGACGGCGTCGCCCCCCGAACGAGGCCACGGAGGCGCCGCGGCCCAAGGGTGCAGAATGGACCCGTCTGGCAGGCAGAATGACTGGTATTGTAATGTACGCAGAGTACGGCTGCTCCGTGGACTTAACGTCCACGAAAGGTTTTGAAGTTACGCGAGGGTGCAGACCGCTTGCCTTCTTGCCTGCTGGCCTGCGCACATTGCTACTAGCCTGCTGGCCTGAACTTATCCTGCCTGTCTTTCCTGCTCGCATGTTGGCCGGTTCGCCTGACAGTTTGCTTGTTTCATCGCCTTCGGGGACCATGTCGGGCCCTTGTTGGCCTCTCGCGGGGCCTCTGAGCGCCATCTTCGGGTTCCTGATGGCCTCGCGGGGCCCTCTGGGAAGTCTTGGGGACCATCTGGAAAGGTCTTCGGGTAATCTCAGGACGATCTGGGGCCGTCTTAGGGCTGCCGCCTCTTCGGGGGCCAGCTGGGCGGTTGGGCCGGGCCATCCTGGGCTACCTTGGGGGGGCTTCAGCCTCCCCGGACGCGCTCGTTTGCCCGAGGGGGGCTCCTTGCAGACTCTCGGGATCGTCATGGAGGCAGGTGGAGCCGAACAATGAGAACCGTGCTAAGCGTGCGCGAAAACCAATAGAACCCAATGGTTCTCGCCGCTTGGGGACCCTGCGCGGAGCCATCTTCGGGTCTCGGTGTGGCCTCTTTAGGGGGCCATCTTCGGGCGCCCAGGGACGTCTCCAGGGCATGCTTGGCGGTCGCAGGCGCCTCCTGCAGGCTCTCTTGGGCCGCATGGGGCCGCAGGGAGCTCCACTGGGCGCCTTGGGGCGTTCCAGGGGAGCGCGTCGGGGCTGGCTGGGCCGATATTCAGTCGCTTGAGCGATCGCCCTTCTGGCACGCGGTGGCACCTGCAGCGTAGCAAGGACGACTATAGATTAGAGAGCCCGTGGAAGAACCACGGCTGACAGGCTCGTGCTCGGCTGGATGATCAACGGTTGGCGGCGCGCCGAAGGGGGTAGGGGGGGAGGCTTCTCAGAAGGAGGCTGCTTCTCAGATGGCGCGGGCCTTGCATTTATAGACGAAACCCGTGCCTTCCAAGAGGCAGGGCTGCTTCTGAGAAGCCTTCCCCCAACCCCCTACCCTAGGTCGGGCATGTCCCCCTACGGGCGGATTGTGGGCGAAAAATTGATGAAAATAGTCGAGGAATGTTCAAACATTGTGAAAAAATATCGAAACATCGTCCCCCGAATATTCTTGGACGATGTTTGAAGATTCCTCCTATCGAGGGACACCCCCCGATGTAACCCTAACCCCCCTGAACACGAGGTTCCAGTTCGGGACAATCATGTTCGATACACCCCTGGGCGGCCTGGACACGTTCAAACACGTGGTCAGACGAGCGCGTTCCACTACTCGCAAAGTAACTACTCGCAAATTAACGACTCGCAAATGGACCGGATCCGCCGCGGGGGATCTACGACACATCACCTCGCAGCAGACATGTGTGTGTTTTTGCTGGCGTTTGCGAGTAGGCACTCCTGCGAGTCGTGGAACGCGCTCGGCGGGTGGTCCTCGCTCGCGGCCTGGACACACGCAGAAGCACGTGGCCGAAACGGGCCGTCGGGACTGCACCTGGGAGCCTTGGAGGCGACCCAAGCTTCGGGCCCGCCGAGGGGCGGCCTCCCGGGCCCTCGCGGGGGTCTGTGGGGCGGTGCTCGCGGAGCAGAGGGAGCGGCAGGAGCGTCCACGAAGGGGGCCCAGGAACACACACAAACAAAGATTAAGTCGGGCGTGTCCCCCTACAGGGAGATGTTCGACGAAAAAATTTAAAACAACAAAAAAAGCTCCATAATGATTAACAAAAATACTCCAAAAATAATCCCCAGACTAATTTGTTTAACTACTTTTGAAGATTCCCCCTGTAGAGGGACAGGCCCGACTTAAAACAAAAACACACACAAGCCCAAGATTTCCCCATCGATTTGCCCATCTGTGATGGAGCTTTGCCTTCCCCCCCCCCCCTCCCCCCCTGGCTCCCACGTTTTTTCAGCTCTTCTGGGAAATCAGCATCTCTTTGCGTATGTGCATCTCCCCCTCCCGGAAACAGCTTTCTGAGCTCCCCGCAGGTTTCTTGTATGGGCGCTGGCCCCCCCGCGCGCCAAGGGCGGCGCTGGAGGGGCCCCTGGGGGGGGCTCCAGCGCCGGTTCCGCGCGGAGCCCCGAAAGTTCATGCTCATGCTGTTGTCTGCTGCTCGGGTGCTGTGGACGCTCGGCTCGGAGGAGGAGGGGATCCCGCGCCAGACCTCCTCTGAGGAGCGGCGGGGGGAGCAGCGATCTGCGAGGCGGCGCGGAGGGGGGAGAGCGAGAGAGAGAGAGAGAGAGAGAGCAAAAGGGAGCGAGTCTCCGAGGGACAGCGGGGCACAGGAGCAGAAGCGACGAGGAGCATGGAGCGGGCCGGGAGGAGCGAGGAGCGAGGAGCTGGGAGCGAGGAGGGACGCGCTGGGAGAGCGCTCTCGAAGTCCCTGGCGATCACGGGCGTGACGGGGGAGGGAGAGGGGGGAAGGGGACCCGTCACGTCACGAATCGCGCCAGCGCGGTCTGGGAACGCCTAAGGATGGCTCATTCTCAGACGTCGCCAGCGCGGATCGTGACGGGACGAGGCGGGGGGGGGACCGCGGCGGGGCCGGTCACAAGCGTTACCGCGAAAAACAGAAAACGGGCTCCAGTTGCGAGGAGCTGGGAGCGAGGAGGAAGGAGCAGGCCCCAACGAAGTACGGGGAGCGTTTGGGGTGTGTGGCTTCGAGCCGCGTGCGCCCGAACACTTGGCCTCCTTCTTCTCCTTCGGCTGCGCTCGGGGCCCATGAAGCCTCCTTGGCCTAGTTTGGGGGCCCTCTCGAGCTGTCTCAGAGCCCTCTTAGGGCGTCGTGGAGCCACCTTGGCGTCTATTGGGGCCTCTGGGTGGCGTACTGGGCGGGTCTGGGGGCGGTCTGGGGTGTCTTCAGGCTATGATGGGTTGGCCTTGGACCGTCTTGGAGTCAGTGTGGGAATCGTCGTGAAGCCAGCCAGGGTCAGATTAGGCAATAATGTGGGCGTCTTTGGTCCTCTTGAGCTCTGAGGAGCTTCTAGGGCGAATTTCGGAGCGATCTTGTACTGCAAAAGTGGACGCCCGATTTCGAGCATCTACGTACTGGTTTGGCCGAAGTTCACATCTCTGGGGCCATCCGCGGGCTATCTAGTGCCCCCTTGGCAGCTTGGTGGGAAAATCCTGGAGCCTATATAATCCAGGAACCAACAAAAAAAAACGTAAACCTAAACTGTAAGAAGTCCGCGCGGATCTCTTGACTCGGCGCTGGACCGCCCTTCCTGGTGCGCGGGGCGGCGCCGAAAGAATAAACATGGAATTTCGGAGATCCGTGCGAATTTCTTGAATCAGCGCTGGAGCCCCCTGGCGGCGCCCCCGCCCGTGGTGCGCTCCGCTTGCCAGGAAGGGAGGTCCAGCGCCGATCTAAGGTATCAGCACAGACCTCCGACAGTTCGTGCTGATGCCATGTGTTGTTCCTCAAAGATAATGTCGGGCTCCAATTTCGCCTGACGCATCTCGCTGAGCAGCGACATGGCCGCCCACCACTGCTCGCCCTTCTGGCACGCGCTGATCCCAGCATTGTAGTTGAGAGTGCGCCTGTAGCGTAGTCAAAATTATCCTGCGCTCTGCTGTGCTGGCATGGCTGAGCAAAACAATGATGCATCCGTATCAACGTCCGCAATATGGAAAGCCCGGGAATACATGAAAAGTCGGGGAGGCCAGAGGGGATGGAGAAATCAGAGAAGCCCGCAGGGGTCTCAGAGTGTAGCTGAGAGCAGCCGCTGAGCACGTGCGCGCGGAGTCTGGTGAGCGTGCTGCTGCTTAGCACATGGCGGTGATGGTGAAGCTGCGTGCTGCTGTTTGCCGCGGCGTTCTGCCACTTGGTACTGCCTGTGCTGCTCGCTGTAGCCTGCTGAGGGGTACTGTTATTGATGCTTGCTGTTGCTTGCCTTCCGCTGCGTAATCATCGGGGGCGGCCACGAGGGGGGCGTCCAAGAGAAGGGGTGCAAATCATGGCCGGCGGCATGTGCGCGGCCCAGGGGGTGGCCCAGGGACGTAATGAAATAAGAAGAGGCGCCATGAAATCTAGGGAAATATCATGGCCCACGCCATGATATCCACCCCCCCTTGTCATCACCCCCCTCTTTGCCGCCCCCGAAATCATGACCGCTGCTGCTGTCTTTTCTGCTGACGGGCCGGGCGCTTGTAGCCAAGCCGGGAATGGCAACGGACAGCCACGCGGTATCGAACGGGTGGCTTCGGAGACAAAGTTGCCCGGCAATGGGAAAGAAAATGCTGCTGGGGATCGGCGATTAATTGTGTCTGTATGTTTTTCCCCTCCTGAAGATTTTTGGAGGAGAAATGAAAAGTACTCATAAATTCGCTGGCCCAACGGGCCAAAGGCGTGCTAAGATCTCCGGTAACAGGTTAACGGTATTTCTAGTTCGCGCGCGCGCGTGGCGGCCCCTGGGGACCCCTGGACGAAAAGTACCCCAGCCGATGCCCAGGCGATGCCCGGGCGATGCCCGGGCGATGCCCTGCTGACTCCCCCAGGGCGCTCTAGGAGCGCGGCAAGAGGGCGCCGGGGCGCCCCCTACACGGCCCAAGAGGCCCCGAGTCGCCGAAAGACCGTTCCAAGAGGCTCAAGATGGTCTCCAGACGGCCCCAGAGGCAGCGAAAAAGTCCCAAGGGAGCCTCAAGAGGCTCTCCGAGAGGGCCCCAACAAGCAAAATTCGTCTCGTTCCCTTTGAAGAAAAAACATCGCTTGCATGTACGACATTTGGGGATTCACAGCGTCCAGAACTGCCCCAGAGGCTTTCAACATCGTCCCCAGACGGCCCGACACGCCCCCCAGATGGACCCAAGAGAGCCCAAGAGGGCCCCAAGACAGCCCAAGGGGGCACCAAGACGGCCCACGAGGCGCCCAAGACGGCCCAAGACAGCCCCAAGAGGGGCCCAAGAGGGGGAACACGAAATGACATTTCCACATTTCCGCCCCAAGGGCCACCTCCGAGACCGCCAGCAAGCCCCGAAGAAGTCCCCAAACGGCCCCCAAGAGGCCCCAATAGGCCACGAACGCGCGGGCAAACGCCTGCGATGGCACAATACAGGCCGACGGAGTGAGCAAAACAATAAATATTCAAAAATAACGGAAAATAGCAGAAAAAATCGCGACGTCTCGGCGGCGAGCGAGGGGGGGGAAGTGAGAAGGAGAAGGCCTTCTCAGAAGGCTCGGAAGTCCCCAGCCTTCTGAGAGGTTTTCTAAGCCTTCCCCGACGACAGGAAAAAACTTCTCGGAAGGCGCGAGGGCTTCTGAGAAGTCCCGCCGCCTTCTGAGAATACCTTCTCCTTCTCATTTCCCCCCCTCGTTAGCCGCCGAACATCACGGGATCTCCTCCCGGGCCGCTCACACGCCGGCGCGCCGGGGGGTACCCCTGGGGCGGTCCCCATGCACACCCCCGACGTCGTGGTTTTTGTCACAACGCCGACCCCCCAGAGGTCCCGGACCCCTTCCCCAGGACCGGTCCTTGGTTCATCCTGAATCGTGCGTGTTCGGCCCCGAGGCCCGGGAGGGGCCGCCGGAGGCCGGGAACCGCGAGAGACCGCTCGCCGCGATATGTTTTCGCGGCGCGAGGGGGTCGGGGTCTGTCGGGGCCGCCCCGGGCCCGTCTCGGGGGCCACAGCTCGGAGAGGCCGGCGGGGAGGCCCAGCCTGAAGGGGGAGCTTCGGGGGGCGGCGCGCCGCGCGGGGGCCGCCGGCCCCGCGCCCCTGCTGCGCCGCCCCCCCCCCCCCCATTGAGTGGCAGGGCGGAGGGCGCCAGGAGGAATCGGAAAACGCACAGGCGCTCTGCCCCAGCGGCCCCCAAGAGGCTCCCAGGAGGCCCCCCGAAACTGTGCCCCAGAGGCCCCCCAGAGCGCGTCGAAGAGACCCCAAGAAGCATCCGTGAGGCCTCTGACCCACGCCAGCGTCGTCGTCGTCGCCGCCGCCGTTGTCGTCGTTCCCCTGCGAGGTCGGCGGCACCGGCCGCATGGCCTTCGCAATCGGAAAACGCACAAGCTTCAGGGCCGGCGTCTCGGCGAGCCCAGGGGGGGAGTGAGAAGGAGGAGGCCTTCTCAGAAGGCGAAGGCGGCGGGGCTTCTCAGAAGCCCTCACGCCGTCTGAGAGACTTTCTGCGTCGTCGGGGAAGGCTCAGAAAACTTCTCGGAGAGTCGGGGGACTGCCGAGCCTTCTGGGGAGGCCCGCCCCTTCTGACTTCCCCCCGGGCTCGCCGCCAACTTTGGCGTCTCGGCCACGCGCGCGGCGGCGCGGCGCAGGTCAAGTCAGGCGAGAGAGCGCGGACAGGGCCAGCTTACGCAGCGTGGAGATCAGAAACACACACACACACACAGATCAGAAACACACACACACACACACACACGCACAAAGGGGACTGGCCACTGTTGTGCGTTGGAGCCGATCCCTGAGGCCATTTGGGCGGCTCCCAGAGCCTGGGAGGTCATGGTCGTCTTCAAGAAGACCCAACGACAACGTGAACAGCGAAGACGGCCCAACGACAACGACAACGACAACGTGAACGTCAGCGGGTGTTCTGCAGCTGCACCCTGCTGTACATATGCTCATCCTATCTTTTCCTCCCCGGCAAGGAGAATTCTGTGACGCAGCCAGTCTGGATCGCTTCGGGCATGCAACTCAACTGTTTCCTCAGACGTATACGGCCCACAAGATTCGTTAACCCTGGGTGGCTGCGCTGAGATCTGCTGGAAAGGAAACGACAACGCGAACGACGTCTCGACGAGGAGCATTGGACTGGGCAACTCGTCTCCTCCCTCCACCGACCCTTCTCCTATCTCACTGCACCTCCTCAGACTCCTCATACATCCTTCTTTCAGCCTCATCACACCTCCTCGCACGTCCTCGCACCTCCTCCTCCTCCTCCTCCTCCTCCTCCTCCTCCTCCACAGCCTCCTCCTCCTCCTCCTCCTCAGCCTCCTCCTCCTCCTCCTGCTCCTCCTCCTCCTCTCCTCCTCCTCCTCCTCCGCCTCCTCCTACTCCTCCTCCGCATCCTCCTTCTCCTCCTCCCCCCTCCTCCTCCTCCTCCTCCTCCTCCTCCTCCTCCTCCTCCTTCTCCTCCCCCTCCTCCTCCTCCTCTTCCAACTCCTCCTCGTCCTTCTCCTCCCTCCCACCCTCCCTCCCACGCTCCCTCCCTCCCTCCTCCTCAAACCACCTCCTCCAACCTCCTACCTACACCCGCATCCTCTACCACCCTCTATATCCTGTTGTTTCATCCTAGTAAGTGGTGCAGGAGGGTAGGTCTTCCAACCCTCTTCCTCTTTGGCAAATGATTTCCCCTCCCCACCCCCTCCCTGAGTATGGAGATGAGGGAGAGGCCAAGGATGAGGTCGCCCCGAGATATCCGAACGGCTATCAGGTAACCCAAGATAGCCTCCAAGATGCCGAGACGTAGCCCAACAGAACCGAACATACCTTCCATCATGCCTCGAATAAGCCCAAAGACCACCCCACGATGGCTCCAAATGTACAAGGAGCCTCCCACGGAAACACCCGAGACGTCATACTCAAATCTTCCCAAAACGGCGCAATCTAGCCCAACAAGCTAGCCAACCGGCCAACTAGCCCGCCGACAAGCTACCCAACCCCTCAACCACCGAACCAGGCCCAAAAGCAGATCCACGACCGATCAGCGAACCAACCCGCGAACCAGCGCACAGTCCAACCTGGAAACGCGTCAGCCGGCCAAACGCCATGGCGGCCCTGCAACAGATTGGAGCTCCCCAGATCGGCGGCACAGGCCAGAGGTCGTTCTTGAAGATTCCTGGGGTCTGCAGCTGATCCCGGGGCATCGTCGAGCCCGCCTAGAAGCGTCTCGCCCGCCTCTTGGTGCCTCCTGGGGGGGTTGCTTTCGGGCGGCGGCCCAGGACCTCTGAGGCCCGTCTGGGGCCGAGTCGAAGGGACCCCGAGGTTCCAGGACCAGATCGGCGGCGCGACTGGACAGCGTGCAGGGCGGGGCAGGGCGAACAATACCCGAGTGCCGCCTCGCGCGCGCTGGCCCTGGCCACGTGGTATGGATGACGTCGGGCTCTAGCTTCGCCTCCTGCATCTCGCTAAGAAGCGACAGGGCCCGCTGCCACTGCTCACCTTTCTCGCAGGCACTGATCCCGGCGCTGTAGCTGACTAGCGTGCACCAGTAGATACATCCAAAGCATGGCGTGTCGATGGGTTCGGCCTTGCTTCTTCTTCCCCGACGCCATCTCCCCGCGTCCCACAACAAGTATGTTATCCCAGAGCGGGGGGGAGCGATGCCGAAAACAGCCTGCCTTTGGCCGCGTGGCCATTACGAAGGCAAGACTGAGGGGGGTAATGTACGCTTGAGATTAACAAATCCGGGGATTAACAAATCCGGGGGGGGCGTGTGATTAAAAAAAGTGTCCCTGCTCGGGCAATCGCGGGGCTGGCGCCCGGCAAATTGAAACACACGGCGACGGCGCAGGTGATTATCGCCGCCGCCCGGCCGCCAGCGAGAAGGCGACAGAAACAGCACGCGTCGAGACACGAGTGCCTTCCTCCCCCTCGCTCGAGACGACTGTGCTATTCACACCTCATCTCTGGCAGCGACAAGACGAGGAGGATCGAGCTCGGCGGCCCAAAGGCCCCTCCCTCCTCGCTCCATGCACCGGCGCACCGTGCGCAGCCCCTCCTCGCTGCTTTCTGCGGCTCTGCCTCCTCCTCGCGGCTGCTGCTTCGGGCTTGCTGCTGCATGCTGCCGTGCGCCTGCTCTTGCTGCCGCTGCCCCATGCCCTCATACTGTGCCAGAGAATGCAGAAATTGTCCCGCGAGCCCATAAAGTTCATTGCGCAACCCATTAGATTCTGAATCGTTACGTAAGCAGACTCGGTGACCTGCCCACAAAGACGTAGGAATGCCAACGCCGACTCTGCCAGAGCTGTGTGAAACCCCTGTGTCCGAGCGGAAGTCGAAGGGACACGCGGGGCATGTCTGGCAAGAACGTGGGGATACGAGCCTTTGCAGCGAAGCGACAAGTGGTGAGGGGAGGGGGGGGGAGAAGGATGGGCGAGGAGCGAGAACGGAATGGGGGACAAAAGAGGGGTGATGGCGGGGACGCCGTTGGTCGGAAAGGCCATCGCGGACCCATCTTTAGGAGCCCTTCTGGACTAACTGGACTCACACTCCTGGGGCCATCTTGGCGTCCCTTTGACCGCCTGGGTCCCTTTTTTGGGAAGGCGTCGGGGCGGTAGGGGGGAGGGGGCATCGGGCCTGCTGCGACGCCCCTCGGGGCCGCCCCCCTTGGCGTGCTCTGAAAGCCACCGAGGCCTTTCCAGAAGCCACTGGAGCCTAGTTGGGGACTGACTACCTACCAGACCACCCCAACCCAACCCGAAGACCCGAATTTGACCCGAATTTCGGGTTGGATGGGGTACGGGTTCCGTGTGTTGTTCTCCATGTTCCCCGACACCCCCCCACTGGAAATGGAGGGCAAATTGAGGCCTTCGGGTTAGGTTGGGGTGGTTTGGTGGGCGGTGAGGGACCATCGTGTGCTAAAACATACGGGACCCAGCCAGGAACGAGACACTAAACCCACGAGAAGGAACTCGACTAGCTCCCCCTCCCAGGGGGCCCTCGGCGGACGGCCTGGGCGCGTCCCGGACCCGTGCGGGCGCCACCGGGGAGCCCCTTAGGGAGCTCTGGTCAGTCCCTGGAGCCCATCCTGGCCGGCTCGCGTGAGCGGCCTAGGGGCCCTTCGGGCTGCCCTTGGGTTCATTGGGGGCCTCTGGGAGCCCCAGGGGCCTACGACTACGAGGATAGGCCAGGGCAGAGCTCGCTCAGCACACACACACACACACACACACACACAACGGAAGAGGGGCCGTGCCGAACTACACGGAAATCGTGGGTTTCGAAGCCAACGCGTCCGCTGCTGACGATGCAAGTAGGGGCTCGGCTGAAGATGTGCGGTGCACCCCTTCACGACATGGCACGCACACGCGCAAGCATACAGTACGCCTCGCGGTTGCAACCCCCGCGCCCCCGCGCCCTCCATCAGCCAAAGGGTCGCGAGTCCACCTCTGAGGTGTCCGAGAGCCCAGTGGGCCCGCAATCGGGTGGTGCTCTTGGGTTATGGATGCCATGACAATGGACACTCTCACAGCCCCAGCATTGAACTTAGAATAGAACGTCTCTAAAATGTCGGAACATGTTCGAAACATGTTTCAAGCATATTTTTTTCTACGTGCTTAAAGCATGTTTGAAACACGTTTTAGACATCTGGAGACCTTTTTGGCAGCATGCTTCCGCTCCTGGGGCCCTCGGCCCTCAGAGGCGCCCCCCGCCCGCTGCGGGGCGGGCGGTGCCTGGGGGCCTCCTGGAGCTGCGCGGGGGCCCCTGGGCCGTGGAAGACCCGTCGAGGCCGCCTCCCAGGCTGGCTCGGAGCCCTCTCTAGGCAGCAATAAACTGCCCACCAATACTTAATCAAAGAAAATTATCCATATCTTGGTTCGCGCACCAAAGAGACGACAAATCAAGCTCGCGATTTCCACGGTGGTGATCATTGAGTTGCTGGTCGGAGGCGCGTCAGGGCCGCGCCAGCGCGAACGCCTACACATTGGACGAAACGAGCGCGCGCACGCAAGAAGAGCACCAACAACTCCATGACCGCGCCAGCCGCACAGGGGTCGCCGCCCCGCAGGGAGTCTCTGCCGATCGGGCGCACGCTGGCGTGGACTGCGAGTCCGTGGATCCGGCGCGCTCGTGCGCCAGGTCCCGAAATCGGGGAGCGCACCCCCGAAACGTGGGGCTGGTGCCGCATGCCTTGTGTGGCGGCGGAGGGCAACCCTGGAGGTCTCCAGGGCCGTCTTTGGGGCCTCCTGGGCTGCCTCGGAGCCCCCTGAGGGCCGTCCTGGGGCCGTTTCGGGGGCGCCCTGGGGGCGGCACTGAGGGCTCCCTGGGCTGTCTTGGAGCGTTGAAGCTGGAAAAGGCGAAAACGTTGAAACATGACAAACACATCATGAGCATACATGCTATTAGCCTCTCGGGGATCTCTTGGGGGTCACTGCAAGGCTTGCTTGAAGGGCCTGGGGAGCCTCGAGTGCCATTGCTGACGCTTTTTGTGCTCTGGGACCCCTGGAAGCCGTCTCGGGGATGGCCTTGGGCCATCCTGAGCTGCCCAGAGGGTTGCACAAACGCATTCGGACGCGAGCGTGGGCATTCTGCAAAATTTCTGGAGCCGTCTTCGCGGCCTCCTGGTCCGTCTTGGGGCCATTGGGGAAGCGTCTTGGGCCGTCCTGGGGCGGTCTTGGGGGGGCCTCTTGGGCGATCAGCAGAACAAAAACGAATATTCGAACATCCTTAGGGGAGGCAACTGTTTTGCGTCTCGGGGCCCCAGTTGGAGCCATGTCAAGGCTCTCTTGGGGCGCATTGGGGGCCTCTATGGGGCCACTTGAAACACCTCCGGGGCCGTGTGAGGCCCTCGAGGCCGTTCCGGCGGTGGCTCGAGGCCCCCGGGGGCCGCCCTGGCGGCTGTTCGGCCGCTGCAAGACGCGGCCTGGGAGCCCTCTTGGGCCAACGGGAGCCCGCGGGGAACATCCGGCGGAGGGCCCAGCGGGGGAGAAGGGGAACGCGATGGACTCTGGCGGCCTTTGGTGTGCTGCGGCCCCAGGGCGCTTGCCTGGGGCTCGGTCGGGCACGTCCTCCCTCCCACACATGCGGGCTTGGAAGAGAACTCCAAAACATAGCCACGAGCAAGCCAACACAGTCACAAAAGAGCACGAACAGTCGTCACCATATTACTTGCTACTGCTCCTGAATGCTGGCCATCGCTCGGACGTCCACTCCCTGTGCTTTTGCTCGGCTTCATGGTGCGAGGCGCTGTCGCCAGATGATCAAGGATGCTCCTCGATGGTCCTCGCCGAAGGAAACATGCACACGCCTGAGCGATGCCCAGGGACACGCCCGATTTCAGCCCGGGGCCGGGCTTCGGGCACCGGGGAGGAGGTGAGCGTGCAGATCGGCGGCACGCTGGGCAGAGGGACGCGCGCAGGACGCCTGCCATTTCAAGGCAGAGGGAAGTCTGCGACTGGCCATCGCTCGGGCGTCCACTCCCTGTGTTCGGTTCGGTTTCGTGCGTGGCTTTTTCGCAGGATGATCCAGGATGCTCCTCAAGACTCCCCGCCGGGAAAAAGTGCACACGCCCGAGCGATACCAACGGGAGCGCGGTGGTAAAAAGGCGTGGGGGAAGGGTACCCCGTAGACAAAGACGTCCCGAGAACACCCGTCGCAATCGTAGGCCCATCGCCCCTCCTCGGTCCCCTGGCTTTTGCGCTGCTCCTGCCCCTGTCCTCCGCCTCCTCCTCCTCTTCCTCCTCCTCCTCCTCCTCCTCCTCCTCCTCCTCTTCCTCCTCCCGCCCTTCCTCTTTTCCCCGCTCCCTCGTTTCCTTCCGCCTCCTCCCTGGTCAAAGCCAGCAGCCACATTCCCTGGCGGGGGGCCCACATCTTGTCGAGCAAGCAGCGGGCGGGGACACACCGGTACGACGGACGGGAGAGGCCACGGAGGGGGGAGGAGCCAAAGAGGCAACGCAGAGATGGATGAAGGAAGGAAGGGAGGGACGCACGATGGAGAAGGAGGGGGTGTAGGAGGAGGAGGAGGAGGAGGAGGAGGAGGAGGAGGAGGAGGAGGAGGAGGAGGAGTACCAGCAGCAGCAGCTGCAGCAGCAGCAGCAGCAGAGGAGGAGGAGGAAGGCTCAAGGGTATCCAGTGCCTCTGGGAGACTTCTTGGGACCCTCTCCAGCGCCAGCTTGGGGCATCCAGGGAGGCCCTGGGGCGGTCTTTCCAAAGCTTGTCCAGCAGTGTGAGGGCGGCTGGGGGCTCTCTTGGAGCCTCGTGAGCTGGCAGGGGCTCCGTCGAGGGCTCTGCAGAGGCCCCCTTCGAGCCCTCATCAGTTCTGATGGGGCATCCAGGAGCTTCTTGGGGTGGCCCTCTTGGGAAATCTTCGGGGCCTCTGGGGGGCGCTTTGGGCTCTTGGCGGCGGCTTGGCGGCATCCGGGAGCCCGGTTGGGGCATCGTGGGATCATGGAGTGGGTCAGCGGATCCTGTCGATGAGAAAGCGACGGGAGTGCTGAGAACCACGCATGAGCAAGTTACAGTTCAACCATTTTCGAGCGCCCTGGAGTACCTCTTGAAACCTCTTCGGGCCCTCTGTGGCCATCTTGTGACCCTCTGACGACTCATCTAGCATCTTAGGGGTCTTGCAGCTTGGAGATCTAACGAAAAGCGTGGGACTCCCGGGGCCCTACTGCGGCTGGACCAATCGGAGTGGGGGGCAGGGGGCAACAAAACAAGCTTGATCTGTCTCGCGCGCGTCGGGCCAGACATCGGATTACCGATGGTATATCATTCGGCATCTCGCTGAGTAGTGACAGGGCCAGCTGCCACTTCTAACCTCTCTGGCACGCGCTAACCCCAGCATTGTAACTTATCACGTCGGGCTCCGACTTCGCCTCGATCATCTCACTGAGCAACGACAACGCTCGTTGCCACTGCTCGCCTTTTTCGCACGCGCTCATCCCAGCATTGTAACTAATAACGTCAGGATCCAGCTTCACCTCCGACATTTCCCTGAGCAGCGACAGGGCTGCGGGCCACTGCTCGCCTCGTTCGCACGCGCTGATCCCAGAGTTGTAGCTGACTAGTGTATGCCAGTGGATTCAAAAAAACGGGCTAGCAACTGACCATCAGAACGTAGCAGGACGTCACACGGCCTCATGAACTCGGGATTTCTGCGGTGATCGTGCTCGTCCCGTAGACTCAAGGACTTTGCGCAGACTGCGGGGACTTTGCACCGATCCGAATCTTAGGATGCTGCCAGGGTAAGCTTGGGCCTGTTTGTCTCTTGGGACCCTCTCTGGACTACCAAGGGGTCGCTCGGAACTTCCCGGTTAAAATTGTGGGGGGCGTGGTGACAATCTCGCGAGCTGTTGGGACCATGTTAGGGCGACCTTGGTCATCATGGAGCCGCCTCCGGGCCGGTTTGGGCGCCAAGCAAGGCCGTTGTGGGCCCTCTGGGAGACATCTGGGGCCCTCTTGGCCTCTGAGGGGTCGGCATCTTCGGCGCCGTCGGAAACCCAAACACCCGCCGATCTGTGTTGTTCAATCCGCGGCCCCAGGGGTCCCAGACCCTTCCCCGGGAGTGGCTTTTCGTCCCGGATCCATTTTTGATGGTCCCTGGGCCCGAGAACGGGCCCCGGAGGCCGAAATCCAGGAATTATCCTGGCGAAGGACCCAACCAGATGCAGTTGTGGGTACCGCAATTGTGAATATCTTCTTCGGTGAAGCTCCCTATGGGGCCACGAAGCGCTACACTGGGTGGGGGGGAACGCATGCGGGCGGTTGCACTGGGGCCATCGGTGGAGCTCCCTGTGCGGTCACGAAACGCCGTACTGGGTGAGTGAAAATGCCAACTTGGGCGTGTGGGACGCCGGCGGACGGTCCCACTAGGGGCTTCGGTGGAGCACGATGGGGCCACGAAACGCTGCACTGGGTGTGGCAGACGCATGTTGTACCCCCCCGCAGGGGCCTTCGGTGGAGCTCCCCATGGGGCCACGAAACGCTGTACTGGGCGTGGCAGACGCATGTGGTACCCCCCCGGCAGGGGCCTTCGGTGGAGCTCCCTATGGGGCCACGAAACGCTGTACTGGGTGGGTGAAACGCATGGAGGAGGGAGGAGCGGGGAGGGCACCGGAGGAGGAGAAGGAGACGCGGGGACCCTTTCTTCAGAACGAGGACCCAACACCACAGGATGATTGGGAAAAAATCGGCTCCTCGGATCTCTGGGAGCCTGAGGGGCCCATCTCGGCACGCTCCCGCGCGGGCGTGGCGGAGTGCCCGCGAAAAGCGGCACACGACGCCCGGGGACTTCCAGGGAGGGCCGCCGCGGGTCGTCTCGCAGGGGCTCTCGCGGACGCGCCCGGAGGCCTCCGTGGTGCCCCTCCCCCTCCCCCTCCTTCGCCGAAGGTCTGCGGCCGCATGAGGGTGCCCTGGACCGAAGAGCACTCCAGGGTGAAGAGTCCAACAACGAAAACCGTGTGGGTACCCCATAAGTGGCTAGGTTGTCTCGGAGGAGATGACGTCAGGCTCGACCTTTGCCCCCAGCATCTCGCGGAGTAGAGACAGGGCTCGCTTCCACTGCTTGCCCTTCCCGCACGCGCTCATGCCTGCGTTGTAGCAGATGACGCTGAGCGTCAACTTGGCTTCAACCGCTTCCTCGAGAAGCGCCAGCGCGTGTTGCCACTGCCTGCTTTTGCCGAACGCGCTGATGTCAGCAACGTAGCGGCCTAGGCCTTTCTCACGTAGCCGATACGCTTCGCAGAATGCGTGCTTCGCTGCGCTTCCATGTGCTGCCCTGTCACTCTCATGTCCAGCCGCACCGATAGCGTAAACACTCGGTCGAGACTGTTGCTGGGCGTCAATCATGGTGGAAAAATCTCAGCCCAGAGTTGATTGAGCCCCATAAGCTTGAGCAAGAATTGAAACTGAAGTCTCTTGAGGAACGGTTGAATCAGTGTGGGTCCCTCTTTGGGTTTTCTAAGTTTTCTTTAGGCCATGCGGACATTCCAAAATGCGCCACAAGCAACTGCAGTGTGAGATTATGGCCCTCCCACGATCTCCCAGCGCTGATTATGGCCCTCCCACACAGTCAGACAGGCCAGCAAAACAAGAATTGAAAATGTTATTCCGCATCCCAGTAGTGCCCCCGAGGAATCCTTGGGGAAATCCTCGGGGCTTCTTGAGCATGGGCCATGCCTGGGCCATATTAGAGCTTATTGGTACTGTGCTGGGCTTCGTTCATGCATGATTGGATCCTTTGGGAGTTCAGCTGTGGCTCTCTTAAAGCGTCTTGAGGGCCTCTTGTGTCACTAGTGGCCTGTCTGGGGAGCCTCCTGGAGCTGGGGGGCAGACGCGCCCCAAGCGACTCTAGCGTGAGAACCTGGCTGAGCCCTCCATTGCTTCATGTTCAAGAACCTGGGTAAGAACCCCCTGAAAGAAAACGCACTCCTTCATACCATTCGCTTCCCAGCGGCGACTCCAGGGCTTCATGGGCCAGCTCAACGCCACATCGGGGCCTTCGTCCTAGCTTTGTCCCTCTTGGGCTTTCTCGGGCCGTTGTCGAGCCCCACAAGGACTCTCGGCGCGGGGCCAGTCGACGTCTGGGCCCTGCAGAAGGGGGCGGGGGGTCGCCAAATCACAGATGGACGATACGAACAAGAGCGTGCAAAGACATGTCAGCATGATCCTAAGAGTAAGACGCCCAGCTGAGAAGGCAAGCAAATGATGACCGTGTGGCTGGGAAGGCAATTCAGTGTCTGGGGAATTGCGCTTGCTGATCGGCAACTCAATGTATGGAGGCGTGTATGAAACAAACAACACCAGCGAATAAAAACGGGCTGTGTATGTATGTGTGTTTGGGACTGTGCTTGGTGTTGTTGTTGGGTGTATGGTGTGTTATGTGTTGCGCTTGTGTTTGTGATTGTGCTTGTGCGTGTTTATGTCGGTGATTGTGTTTGTGTTTGTGTTAGTGTTGGTGTTTGTGTTTGTGTTTGTGTTTTTGTGTGTGTGCTTGTGCTTGTGAGTTCTGTGCAACGCTATGATCCAAAAAGGTGAAGCTCGGATATGGAGCTTGGGGCATGTAAGATGGGGTTTGGGATCTAAACCGGGTAATACCAACAACTCAGCATGAGTTAAGCCATATGAGACACGCAACCTGAACAAGCAGCAAGCCAGGACAGAATGGCCTTCGGCAGGATGCAAGGCCGGAGCTGGAGCTGGGTTGGAGCTGGATCTGGAGCTAAGCTTGATTGAGATGAAGATGGTTTTGCTGGGACTGGAGCGAAGGTGGGATGGAGCTGGAGCAGGAGCTCGAGCTGGAGTTGGGGCTGGAGCGAAGCTGGAGCTTCATCTGGGTCTGGGGCTGGAGCCGGGGCTCGAGCTGGACAGGACTTCGGTTGGAGCTGAAGCTTGTGCTGGACGTTTCCCCAGGGCTGTGCCTTAATCTGGGGCGAACCCGCAGCTGGAGCCGGAGCTGAGCTGGGGCTGGTCCAGAGCTCAGGCTGGAGCTGGGGCTGGAGCTAGGAGAAGCGAAGCGAAACAGAGCCAAGGCGCCGGAGTCGGGCACGCAGGTGTGCTGATGCCCTTGCGGGCAAGGCACACGAGGCCGTGGCCTCACACCGTGCGCGAATAAGAATCGTGGGCGAAACACTACAGGAACAGTGCACAAGATAGGCAAGGAACAGGACGCGCGTGAATCGAAAGAGATAGGGGGCGTGACAGAAGATGTTCAAGAACCTGGTCAAGATCGGATCGGTGCGGACGGTGTCTGCTATTTTAGATGGTCGTCGGTACTCGTTGCTGTGGTTTGGTGCCACGATTGCATTGCTGTCGGTGTTGCTGTTGGCCTTGCTATGTTACTGTCGGTGGTGGTCAGGGGTTTAGTCGCTGCTGTTGTGTGTAGTCGGTGCTGTTGTGTTACTGCCGGAGTTGGTGGTCATTGGTGTTGGCGCTGGAAGGTAGAACCGGCTATAGTTTGTACCCTCGTCTGATGTATGACATGAAAGCGCTCTCAAGCGAGTCCCACCACGTCGTGTCTGTCGCGGCTGTCAACCATCTCACACAGTTACTGTTGCAATGGAGGCATCATCCATCATCGTGGATGGACGGCGTCGTTGGTGTCGCTGCCGGTGGCTTCGTCATTAGCACTCGTACATGCTACCCCTGCAAAAACTTACTCACGTCGTCGTCCCACCGCTTTCGTTGGCCGGCATGCTGAGGTGACTTTGTTGTTTCGTGTCGAGACTGGGGTTCCAATTCAACTCTCGGTGTGTCCATCGTTTCTGCGGATGGCTTGCAACGCGCGTGGCCCAACGCCAAACTTTTGGTGTGCAATATATCTGTACTAAATCAAGGATGTCGTGCTTGCCCATGAGCTCCTCAGCTCTGCGTGTACTCCTGCGGATGAAGTCAGACCACGGCTCGTCGTCGTCCATCATCTGCTCGTGGGTCTGGTGCGCGTCACCGGTGTCTTATTGTGTGCTGGTCTGCTCTGATAGGGTGGGGTGCTGGATGCGTCGTGGTCGCTGGGGTTGTCAGGGTGGTCGCTGTCTGCGTCGTTATTACTGTGGTTGTCTGTTGTTGGGGCGGCGCGCATTCGCCAGGTGGCGATTGTGCGCCTTCTCGGAGTTCCGATGATTGCCCGAACCATCCGTTGTTGAGTGTGACGTAGCTGTTGTCGCAATGGCTCTGTCAAGGTCAACGCTTCCGAACCGTATGTCGCCGTGAAAATGACGGTGCCATGATAAAGACTCAGCCTGTGTTTGAATGTGTAGTGCGTGTTCGTCAGTTCTTGACTGCGAGCTGTGAAGCATGCCCACGCAGCTTGTATCCGGTGTTCGATTTCTGTCGCCGCGGTTTGTTGGAATGTAATTGTCTGGCCGAGGTATGCCACCTTGCCAGTGTGTGGCATGTCTGGCAATGTCCATGGCTGCAATGCTGGTAGAGCGAGTCCGGGTCTTAGTTTGGTTGGTAATGAGTTCTGTCCAAGTCGGGTGTATTTCGAAGCCATGTGGTCTCGCTCGCTACTGTGATCAAGTCTGCAAGTAGAGTCTTCAGGTCGGGCAACATCTGGCTGACTGGCAGGATGTCGTCGGCGACACGGAGGTTGGTGAGAACAGATTGGTCGGTGTGCGCCAATCGAACAACTTTTCGTCGTCGCTGCCATTCTGGAATGAGTGGTGCGAGAACGTGCTGTAGTAGCGCGTTGAAGAGCAAGGAGCTTAAGGGGTCTCCTTGTTTCGTGCTGCGTCGGTCGCAATTTGAACGATTTGCGCATGGAATCGTTGCGTACTACTGCCGTTTGGTCATGGTGGAGGCGTTGGAGCAAGTGGACGTAATCGGGCGACACGTCCTGGCGACGCAGGGCTGCCCATAAGCTGCTGTGTTCCACGATGTCGAATGTTTTTCTGTCGAAACCTACTGCTGTGGTCCGCATAGTCTGATTCCATGCAGAAGCCTGGTCCCGCAGGATGTTACATGTGAAGAAATAGTCGCGCGTGCCGCGCCCAAGTCGGAAGCCTGCTTGGTCGTCGGGTTGGTGCTGGTCGAGTGCTGATGAGAGCAGGTTGTATAGCAGGCGGCTGAACAACTTGTAGAGCACGGACACTGGGGCTGGAGCCGGGGCTGGAACTCTGGATCGAAGCTGCAGCTGGGGCTGGAGCGAAGCTGAAGCTGCAACTGGACCTGGAGCTTCGACTACGGCAACTATATTCGAGCTTCGCGCTCCACGAAGCGCGATCATCTTCGCGCTTTCGCGCCGCCCCCCCCCCCGGAATAGGATTAGGGACTCGCGCCTCGCTCTGAGATCGCCCAGACCGTGAAGTGAATGCGAAGCGCGACTAACTTCGCACCCTCGTGGTGGCCCTAGTTGCGAGCATGAGGAGCACTGCCCACTCCAGCAATGACTCCAGACGCACAAAATCAGGCACGGAATTCAAGTTCTTCCAGCATGAAGGCCACCAGACGCAGGATGGTCGGGTCCGGACGCTGAGACAATAGGCCCTGGACTGGAATTCTGGAGACATGAAGAGCACTCAGGCTGGCTCCAGATGCTCAAAGATCGAAGCCTGCCCACGAAAAGCAGGTCGGCTGCAAGAGCGGCACCCAAATGGTCAGAATCAGGCCCAGGGAATGGAGTTCTGGCAACACGGACACCGACTGGTTTTCAGGATCGCACCTGAATGATGAGAATAAGCCCTGGGAATGGAGTTCTGGCAACACTAAGAGCCTGCCCCATGTAATGGATGCGCCCAGAGAATCATAATCAGTCCTGCGAGTGGGGCTCTGCCACCATCAAGCATGCGCTCCCGCCCACCAGCCAAGCCCCAACCTTAAAGTAGACACACAGAAACCTCTAGGACATGCCCAGTAGTAATAGAACGAGTTGCTCTTACTTGCTCGCGTGTCTCCCAACATGTGCACCACACGCCGTCGATACCAACCCCATTCACCGGTCGCGTGTAGGCTTCACTTCGATCACACACCCCTTTGAGGATGTCTTCTCATTACTGACTGCGAGGAATCGTCCTGCCAGCTCCAATAAGGGAAGGGTGAAAAAGAATGGGAGACGGGGGAGGGTAGAGGAAGGAAGGACGTGAACAGGATGTGGACGGAGAGGGAGGAGGCTAGAGGGAGGAGGGAAGACGCAGGAGCGAGGAGGGAGTAGGCGATGAGGAAAGAGGCAGGAGGTCGCGGAGATGGAAGCAAGAGATGGACGACAGGAGCGTGGCATCAACAGCAGGTGGAGGCTCCCAAAACCCTCGAGCGCTCGGGGACTCGGGGCTCGGCGGTGCGGCATCGTCGAGGCATGAGCTCGAAGGCCGCAGGGTCAGAACCCTTTGCACTGATCCGTCACCCCCCTTTTTGCTCTGGCCGGGCGTCGAGCCCAGGCGCTGCCGCCGGGCGCGGTGGCAGGCCCCCCTCGGCCAGATCCCGTCGCCTGCTCTCAGAAGCCGTCGCCCTCACCATACCCCGGGTCGGGCGCGACCACGGCCTCCTCCTTCGGCTCGTGGATTACGATGTTGTCGGGCAGCGGCATCTTGGTGCCCATCTTCCCCTCGGGGTCGTATGCGAGCATGATCTTCACCTTTACGCCAAGCATGCCCTGGCGCATGGACACGTGGCGCACGGCCTCGTCGATGTAGTGCTTCTTCGGCTCGCCAGTGGAGATGAGGTAGCCGTCCTTGAACTTCATGGCCTTCGCGCGCTGCGCGCGCAACTTGCCGCTGATGATCACCTCGCAGCCCTTGGCGCCGTTCTCCATGATGAAGCGGACCACGCCGTAGCAGGCGCGGCGAACTGCCAGCCCGCCCAGCAACTTATAGCGCAGCGACTCCGCCTGGGCCATCGCGCACGCAGCGCGGTTCTCGACGCGCTCCGCGAAGAGCTCGACGCTGTTCTCGGGAAAGCCGTAGCGCTTCTGCACGACGGCGGTCAGCTCGCGGATGCGGCGGCCCTTCTCTCCCAGCACCTCGCGGGTGCGGGTGGCACGAATGATGATCTCGGTGCGGATGGGCGTGACGCGCACTTCGACGCCAGCGTAGCCGTCCTCGGCCAGCGTGCGCATCAGGAACTCGTTGAGCTCCGCGTAGAACACTCCATCGGCGACGAACTTCCGCTTCTTGGACACCTGCGCCTGGCTCGCCATGTGTCCGCGGGCGTGGTGGCCTGGAGGGGGGCGCGGCAGTCAGAGAGGTGAGCGGGGCGGTCGGTATTGCAACCCTTGAGCCAAAGTGGCTACGGCAAACCCGCCAGCCCCCTCGGGGAGCAACGGGCTGCCAGCCAGAGGTGGCCCTGCAACCTGCAAAGGCTCCCCCAGTGTTCAAGCTATTCCCCGGTGAAGCTTCGCCTATGGGGTTACGACTCGTGCTGTGAAGCTCTTACTCGGAGGAGGAGGAGGAGGAGGAGAAGGTGGAGGAGGAGGAGGCGGAGGACAGGAGGAAGAAGAGGATGAGGAGGAGGACGTTGAGGAGGAGGCAGAAGCAGAGGAGGAGGAGGAGGAGGAGGAGGAGGAGGAGGAGGCAGAGGAGGACGAGGAGGAGGAGGAGGAGGAGGAGGAGGAGGCAGAGGAGGAGGAGGAGGAGGAGGAGGAGGAGGAAGAGGAGAAGGAGGAGGAGGAGGAGGAGCAGGAGCAGGAGCAGGAGCAGGAGGACGAGGAGGAGGAGGAGTGCTGTGAAGGAACTGACGGGTGCCACCCCCCCGGTTCGGAGACGACGAGCCCCGACCTTGCCCGGATCTCCCCGGCCCTGGTGCCCCTGCCGCCCTGCCGCTGGGCCCCCTGGCCTTGCCACCTGCCTTCCTTCGGCCCCCCGGCCCGTTGCTCGGTTCTCCCCGGCCTCGTGTCCTCCGGCTGCACGCAGGAGTGACCCCTAGGCGAGAGTGACCTCTGCTGCGCGGCTTTCCGGGGGCCGCGGGGGAGGCCACATCCAGGCGCGCTAGCCGCTGCTACCGCTTCGTTCCGTCAGGCGTCTGGGGGCCCATCTGTGCCCGCACCAGAGGTCACTCCGGCGAAAGGTCACTCTTGCGTCTAGTCGAGTCCTGCCCTCCTGCCTCGGGCTCCCCGGTCTTGTCCCTCGGGTTCCGTGGCCTCGTTCCTTGGGCTCCCCGTCCTTTGCAGTGCCAAGCGCTGCCAGACACTGCCAACTGGAGCCAAGCAAAGCAAGGCAAAGCGATGCCGAGCAACACCGAGCAGCGCCAAGCAAGCTCAAATAGCGCCCAGCAATGCCAGACAATACCAAGCTACAATGATTCCGCCAAGCAGCGGCAAACAATGCCATGCAAGTCAAACCCATGCCAAATGATACGTTCAGTTGCATTGCTTCGCTTTGGTGAGAATTGCTTTGACATGCTCTGTAAGAAAAAACCTCCAATAGAAGTCGCGCAGGGTTCAGTACTTCTCTGTTTCCAGCGCTGGAGTGGTTAAGGAACGAGCAAGGACACCAGCTCGAAAAGCACCCCATTACTCTCCCAGTGTCACATTGCCCGAATTGCTGGGGGCGTTGCGACACATAACACTACAACTGGTTCGCACTCCCGACGCCGCAATTACTCATGAGTTACAACGCGTTCGCGCTCCCGAGACCACACTACCCCGCAGTGTCTTACTAGTTCGCGCCCCCTGGGCAGCAAGACTGTGGCCAAAGCAGCACAAGTCCACACTCCCGAAGCAACATTTTCTGGCAACTTACTAAACATGAGCGCGTTCGAACCCACACTCCCCTGCAATCCTGGGACCGAACCCCTCGAAAAAGTATGACGCGTGCGCGCCAGCGGGGGCCACCTCCGCTCGCAGAGTACAGCGCGCTCGGGCTCCCTGGGCCCCAGCCCCTTCGTAGATGACAGCGTGTGCTGCCGCTCCCGAGGCCGCAGCCCCTCGTAACGTGCGACGCGGCGAAGCCCTGCAGATCGCAGGCTGTGGCGTCGAAGGCGCACCTCCGTTGAGACACTCACGATACAGTTAGGTCGGGCATGTCCTCCTATAGGCGGATGTTGGGCGAAAACTAAACATGAACAAGAACACCAAACATAAACAACAAAAAAACAAACAAAGAAAAAAAAAACGTCCCCATGGTATTCCTTACTATGTTTGAATACTCCTCCTGTAAAGGACCAGGCCCGACTTAACGATACAGTCAACCCGCCATGTCGACACTCTGGGAGCAGGGCACGGCCAGCGAAAGCGGCCAAGGATGGGCCAAAGGGAAGGGATGCAAGGGCAACCTTGGGAAAGGTGCTCCTCCTTACCATGTGGGTTGACTGCATTCTGGGCTGGCGGAACCCATGGTCGTCCCGAGGGTCAGGCTTCCGCAGGCGTCCCACGCAGGAGCCGCTGCTGTTGCCGCTCCTTCGGGAGGGATACGAAACAGCGGCCATGGCCAAAACTGCGTGTGGAAGCGCAGGTGTTGATCTTGGTCTCCGTCCAGCTTGGTCATCGTCAGATCGTGGATCGTCCTCGCGAGTCGGCGACGGCTGGCATGGACCATGACCAAGATCGGCATCGACAAGACCCTGCGACATCTCGGTCATAGTCATCGTGCTTCTCCCCCAGACTTGGAGAAGGGGCCTGAAGACCACACTTCGATCCCCGAGATCATCACCGACCTCCGAACCAAATATGCTGCGATCGTCGAGGGGCACGCTTCGATCGGCAAGAGATCGATCACGCAAGCCCCGCACCAGCAGTGGCTGCTCCTCAAGAGCGTGGACTCACCGACAGCATCGGCGAAGGCGACAGCAGCACCAACGGCACCGTGAAACCCTGGCCGAGAAGTCAGCCGCGCCTCCCAGGCAATGCCAAGGGGCGTCACCACCAGGGGTACCGTCGCCTACCAGAGGAGGACGACCACTCGGGACTCCCAGAGCCACTCAGGACCTCCCCACACGTTCGCAGTCGTCCGAGACCTCCTCGACCCTGTACCATCGAACCTCTGGCCTCGGCGAGAGCTGGCGACCCCCTCCCTTAGGTGGTGGCCCCTCAGTGGTGAGCATCGGCCGGGTCAATGGCGGCGGCGTGCGAATGATACCATGAGCTGCGAGCGCTGCCTCCTCTGAGGCCAAGGCTTTCGCCGTGAACACAAAGACCGGCGAGACTGGTTCTTGGATGAACTTGGCACGCCCGAGATGAGTACGGGAAAAATGGGTGCGCTGCTCCAAACCAACAACGGCCGTTGTTGGGCAGACGGCTTTCGCTTCGAATGGGCAATGCCCGCGGCGACGCCGACAGCGAACCCTGTTCAAAATGGACAGGAACTGATGTCGGTCTTGTTACCGATTGCTTCCGTGCCCAGTTCGCCCCCCCCCCCCGATACAAGTCCCAAACAATACAGTTGGAGTTCGGCCACAAGAAACCTCCGCAAGAAACCCAACCCTGAAATCCGCGATTTGTTCGGTGAAAACCAGATTTGTCGATCGAAAATCGTCTAGATCTTGTTGGGTCCCCATCGAAATCCAAGAAACCCAGGGCACCCTGGCAGAATCCAACTGGTTTCTTGGCACGCGCCCCCACTATAGCCACTGGCACCGCCGATGTGAAGGACCCGTGGAGCGTCACGGCCTCTCTACTTGCACTGCCCGGGCCTCCGCGACCAGAGCGGTAGAGGCGAGACGGGTCGGGCGAGGCGGCTGGGTGGCCCAGACCTTCTCCGCGCCGTCGAAGCCGAGGACGCTGAAGAAGCTCACCTCGGCCCAGCGGGGGGAGGGAGGAAGGAGGGAGGAGGGAGGAGGGAGGAGGGAGGAGGGAGGAGGGAGGAGGGAGGAGGGAGGAGGGAGGAGGGAGGAGGAGGAGGGAGGAGGGAGGAGGGAGGAGGAGGAGGAGGAGGAGGAGGAGGAGGAGGAGGAGGAGGAGGAGGAGGAGAGAAGGAGGAGGAGGAGGAGGAGGAGGAGGAGGAGGAGGGAGGAGGAGGAGGAGGAGGAGGAGGAGGAGGAGGAGGAGGAGGAGGAGGAGGAGGAGGAGGAGGGGGAGGAGGAGGAGGAGGAGGAGGAGGAGGAGGAGGAGGAGGAGGAGGAGGAGGAGGAGGGTGCCACAGAAGCCCCAGGGCAGCTCAGGAGGCCCTGAGGCTCGACGGGGAGCGTGCTCATCGATCCTTTCTATCGCAAGAGCACTGAGTGCCATCGCCTGCTGTGGAGGACGCCCGCGAGGATACGAGACTCTTGCCCGACTGCAAGGAGGAGGCGTGGAGGTAGGGAGCCCCAGGGAAGAGCAGAGGGGACCCTGCTGCTCCTGTTCCTCCTCCTCCTCCTCCTCCTCCGATCTCCGCCTCCTCCTTCGATATCCGCCAACTCTTCCCTTCCCTCCTCCTCCTCCTCTTCCTCCGATCTCCGCCCACTCTTCCATTCCCTCCTCCCCCTCCTCGTCGCCACGTCGTCATCGTCGTCGTCATCATCCCCCTCCCTCTGGAAACGATGCCGTCGTCGTCGTCGTCGTCGTCGGCGGCGGCGGCATCTTCGACACGACAGTGTCGCCGCGCCCCCGCCGTCGTCGCAACGACTCCTCGTCCTCCTGCTGGGACCGCTGCCCGCAGCAGCACGTCGTCGTCGGCGTCTCCGTCGTCGTTAGCGTCGTCGGCGCCGTGGTCGTCGGCGTCGTCGTCGTCGGCGGCGTCGTCGCCGTCGCATCGACGTCGTCGTCGCCGAGTGCGGGCCTTGTCTCGGCTCACCCAGCGCCACTGCAGAGGCCACTCCGCGGCGCTCCCGAAGCGGTCGTCGGACATGGACATGGCGGCGCCTGGGGGCAGCAGGAGGACCTGGGGCCGGAGAGGGGGGGGGACATCGTCGAGGGGGGGATAGGATGAGGAGGAGGAGGAGGAGGAGGAGGAGGAGGAGGAGGAGAGTGACAACTGAAGAAAGGAAGGAAGATGGGGAGTAGGAGGAGGAGGAGGAGGAGGAGGAGGAGGACGACGAACCACATCTGAAAGCTTACCTCTCCGACCCATCCCTTCCAACCGACGCGTGTCATGGCGGGCCTGACACTCCAAGATGGACCCCATCGTGTTGTGGACTATCGGGAACGGGAGCTGCGTACATTGGAGGAGGCGGCGGACGAGAAGGAGGATGAGCAGGAGGAAAAGGAGGATGAGGAAGGAGGAGGACTAGGAGGAACAGCAGCAGGAGCTGGAGTGGAAGGAGCGGGAGGAGAAGGAGGTTCAGGGAAAGGCGGAGGAGGGAAAGGAGGGGGCGACAACGAGGAGGAACGATTCGGATCCAAAAAAGTGGCCCACGCCAGGGCGAGAGTGCCACTCTGAACGACGGGAGCAAAGCGCCGATCCTGAACGTAAGAAACACTTAGAAATGACAAACGTTTCCGCTCCAGTGTCTGGCTCCAAGGCCCTCACGGACAGACCTAGGTCGAGAAACGCCGTATGGAAATGAAGTCAAGGGCCCCCGTCTTATGTTTGTCAGGACGTTGTAACATGAGTCACGTAGAACCTCGGCGAATGCATACTAGAATCATCGCATGAGCTTCACGCGCATTCAATGTATCTCAATTTCTACATGCGCTTGGGCCTAGCGTGTACTGGGATAGAAGGAAGGTGCCGAATTACCGGGAAACGTTGGCTTCTTGAGGTCACAGCGATGGCTGCTGCAGGCGCGATGGGGCTAAGCATTCGGGTCAGGACGAGGGGAACGTGAACGAACGTCTGTACGTAAGCATATGCTTCGCCCTGCTCTCCCCCTACCCGCCGGCAACGGGCTCTCCACCAGCCAAGAGTAGGAGAGGAAGAGAGCGAGGGGTGGGGATGCGGGGGAGTGGAGAGGGAGGGGCAAGGAAGTAGTGTTGAGGAGGACGGTGCGGAGGAAGGAAGAAGGAGGATGGAGGGAGGGAGGATAAAGACGAATAGTTGTATGATGCTATGGTGACGAGGAATAGAAGGACGTGGGAGGAAGAGTGGTGAAGAGCAAATGTAAGGATGACGATGAGAATGACGAGGATGACGAGGAGGAGGGGGTGCGGAGAAAGTTGACGAGGAGCAGTAGCAGCATGAGGGGGGGCTCCTCCTCCTCATCATCATCCAGCTCCTCATGATCATCATTCTCCTCCTCCTCCTACATGTCCTAGTGAACAACTCCTCGTCGAACCCCCACACATGTTGGCAGGGTGGACCGGGCGTTTCGCCGAAGAGATCCTCACCACTGATGACCCTGCAGGTTGAAATTGCAACAACTTCAAGGATGGAGGGCAGGTCGTCTTCAACACGTGTCTCTCGCCTTAGCGTCTCGCACATTCGTCTTGAACGTTTGCAACTGGTTCAAGGATGGGGGGTGCGTCCTTTTGAAAATGTCGCTTTCGCGTCAGCGCCGCGCAAGTTCTTAGCAACAGTTTGCGATAATTTCAAGATGGAGGCCAGCTTCTCTTCAAGATGTGGATATCGACTCAGCGCCGCGCACATTCGTCTTAAAAGTTCGCAACAGTTCCCTGGATTCGAATGGCTGTAAGTTCCAGGAACGGCGTTCTGGCACGATTCAGGACTGCCAAGACGCACACGACAGGTGGATTCGCAGTGTTGAAGTCCCAAGAACGACATTTCGGAGCGATTTAGGACTGCCAGGGCACAACAATTACGTTGATTCGCGGCGTTCCAGTCCCAGGAACTCTGTTCTGGCACGATTGAGGACTCTCAGACGGTTCTCCTTCAATGGGGCACTTCCCGCAATGAACATCATCTGTTGCAGGGACCTATGAAGAGGGAACTTAGAGGGAGGGTTGATAGCAACATCGTCGATGCTCCTGAAGCTTACACTGGTCCTCCTCCTCCTTCTCCTCCTCCTCCTCCTTCTCCTCTTCCTGCTCCTTCTCCTTCTCCGTCGTGGGGCTGTCGAAACAACATCTCAAGACGATACGAAGATTGCTGCTGCTGCCACGCCTTCCACAGGAAGACCACGTCGCGGAACCAGGCGAGCTCGGTGTAGAGCTCAATGAGCTCGGGCCGCTCAGCCGTGAGGAGCAAGTGGGCGTCGCGCCTGACGCCAGACACCCACACTCAACGCTTCAATTCGCATTGCTCCTTTCAATCCCGTCCCGTCCTTGCCATTCCCATCGCCTCACGTGGATGCAAGTTGCGGCGACGACCCATACCCCCACCCGAGCGCGCAGGGAAGCTGAACGGCTCTTGTCTTGAAGTGGCAAGCTCTCCGCGTCGATGGCAATGGTTTTTTCCCCGCAGCGCGAACTCCTTGCTCGGTGCTGGTTAGTCCGCAGTCGGCAGGCTCTATCCGTGCCCACGAGCGCTGGAGCTGCCGTGTGGGTGCTGCATGCCGCAGGCGGTGGCGGCGGCGGCGGCGGCGATCGCAGAGGAGCCTCGAGGAGCTCGTGCGTACTGGCGGCAGCAGCCCTCGGCGCGGGCTGCTGCGATCAGCAGCCCCCTGGAGTCTGGCGCCAGGCTGACTACCTACCAGACCACCCCAACCTAACCCGAAGACGCGAACTTCGGGTTGAGGGGGGGCTACGGGTGCCACACGTGTTTGTTCCCCGACACCCTCCCCACTGGGAGTGGAGGGCAAATTGAGGCCTTCGGGTTGGGTTGGGGTGGTCTGGTGGGTGGTGACGTTGTGGGGCGGGCGGAGAGGAGACGGCAAGGAGGAGCGGAGGGACACGGGCAGGACGACCGAGGGAGGGAGCAGAGAAGAAGAAGAAGAAGAAGAAGTATAAGGCAAGTACTGGGAGGTCTTCGTCGGAAGGATTCGGGAGAATGAAGCCTTACTGGGGGCCGTTACGCCGGACTGGGCAGCGGATGAAGCTGGACTGAGCCGGAGTGAACGGAATAAAGCCAGACCAAGCGGGATTAAGCCGGAGTAGGCCAGCTGTCGGACCATGGCAAAGTCAGAATTTGACCTCCCAGGAATTGCATCCGAAGAAGAAGACGAAGAAGATGAAACGAACTCTATACACCGACGCTTTTTTTTGGGCCCCGCACTGAAGTTCGCACAGGATAGCGGACCCTGGTGTATAAGGGACCTTGGTGCATACATCTGTCGCTGTTTCCTTGGGAAACGGGACAAAGTGTACAACACACCACCCCGACGTCGGCCCCGACCCTCAAAGAGCCCTGGGATTGAAAAACAGCTCGCCACTTGGAATGTATATGCTCCAACTTCCGAGAAGAAGGCAGAAGTGCCCCCGGCATCCGGCGTCGTGTTTGTTTCTCGCAGCGTGGGCCCTAAGGTTCGGTCCGTGTGGGGCGGGCCTCTGGCCCCGGACTCTGAAAGGGGGGAGGGGCGAGCACGGGGAGGAGGATGTCTGGGCATGCAGGAGGACGTGCGCGGCGCAGCGGGGTATCTGGCATGCGTCTCGGCACGCGTGCGCATATGGCATGTGTTTTCACAGGGCTTCGGCGCCACAGGGGCCACAAGTGGGGCATCCAACATGTGGACGTCGGATTCTTCACGCGTAAGTGAACATGTGTGGAGAAGCTGTGCCCAACATTTCTGCGCCAAAAGGGGCCACAGATGGGGCATCCGGCATGTGGGCGTCGGATTCCTTCGGCACCAGAGGGGCCACAATTGGAACATCAAACTTGTGGGCGTCGTACTCTCTACGCATGGTAATACGTGTGCGGAGGGTGTGTATCCAACGTGCGTCTGGCGCATGCGTGTTTGGTATGTGTACGACAGGGCATCGGATTCTTCACGCGCGGAAGCACGTGGAGAGGGTATGCACGTCAAAGAGGCCGCAAATGGGGCATCCAACACGTGGTCGTCGTATCCTGTTTCCGTGGCTTGCAATTTCGCTTGCTCCATGACAGTGCCTCGACATAGCACCTCCGTGAAGCAATCATTGATGTGTTAAGATAAATGCGCGCGGCGCAGAAGCGAGCGCACCAGTTTGAAAAGGAGCCTATCCCCATCCCTCAGCACTTGCAAACGTTTAAAACCAATGCGCGCGGCCCTCGGCGAACGCCCCAGCTTTGTTGCGAATCTCGAGCTTCAGGATCAAAAATGGTGAAGAGGTCTCACGCGAACCGCCTCGCCCGCCCTACTAACACGTCTCGGGGTGCGACAGGGATCAATGAGGACATGGGGTGGAATAGAAGGATGGGAGGAGGAGGCGGGAAGGAGAAAGAGGAGGACGACGAGAGAACGAGGGAGAGTAGGAAAAGGGAGGATAATGAGGTGGGAAGAAGAAGGAGGAGGAGGGCGAAGAGAGAATAAGGGGGAGGAGGAATAGGAGGAAGAAGAGGTGCGGAGAAGGAGGAGAAGGAGGAGGAGGAGGGGGCGGCGGAGGAGTAGGAGGAGGGAAGGAGTAGGAGGAGGGAAGGAGGAGGGAAGGAGGAGGGAGGAAGGATTTCTTGGACTGCGCATCTTATTCAACCGCTGGCTGGTCAGGTGACAGGTTGGCACCCGACACGCCAAAGAGGAGGAGCCGATGCCCTGACGTTGCATCGGTTCGGGCGCCAAGGTTGCGGGCAAACTTTGTTGCCTGCCGCATTAAAGGCGGAAAGTGCAGCGCAGCACGAAACGAAAACAGCCATTGCAAAGCAGGGGGAGGCACATCTAAGGAGACGGCGAGGCGGGCGGCCCTTGGCTGTTTCCTGGCGCCGGAGCCCCGCCATGCAGAGAAAGGCGCAAGTCCACGACCACTCATCACACACCAGAGGCAGGAGGGAGTCTTCTGCCCCAAACGACGCGAGAACGAGACGACGGTAGGGCAAACACCGATCTTCGCACCAAGACTCAAGAGAAGAAGCACTGCAACACAATATTTCCTGTTAGCCAAAGCGACTTGCCTGAACTGCATGGCGCCAGCCGGGTCCGAGCATGCGTAATGCCGTCAGTAGCCTGACCAGGGCAAGTGATCTCCATTCCACGACAGACGGCGGATGACAACACCATCGGTTATCTGCACACCAAGCAGACTTCAGTATCCCATGCAACGCGAAGCGGGAGCACACGGGCGAAGGGACGAGAACCTGCGGGTGCGGCATCGCCTGTCGCTCGAGAAAGGGGGCCTCGCACGTACGATGCGCTATCGGGTGCAGCACTACCCCCAGCGGTGGTCACGTGGGCCCCTGGCAAGAGAGCATTAGAGAGGCATGCGGCAGGTGGGCAGCTGCGGGGGAGTTGCTGAACCTGGCGGGGGGGGGGGCTCGGTATAGCACAAGAGAAAGATGAGGGAGTGAGGGGGGAAAGAGTTATCTGTGGCCGCGCCGCTTTCTCTGAACGCGCCCAAAGGGACGACGCCGACACCACGGCAAACCCGCGGCAAGCTCTGCGTCCCGTGCCCAGGTGGGCGCGGCCGCCACTGCGGCAAACCGCGACCTATGTTTAGGTCGGACGTGTCCTCCTACAGGCGGATACTGGACGAAAAATCAAGACTCAAAAAAAACATCGTCCCCACCTGATAATTTTGACTATCTGTGGATATTCCTCCTGTAGAGGGACAGGCCCGATTTGGACCTACTCGGCGGAGGCGGCCGTCGGTGCACCCTCCCGCGCTGCCTCGGAGCGTCCAGGCCCAGGCAGAGGCCGAGCTGCTCCACGAAGAGGCGGTCGCCTGCGGCGCAGCCGGGCGGGCGGGGGGGCGGCGAGGGGGTGCCGCCGCGGGAGGCCCGCCAGCCCTGTGAGGCGTGAGTGGTCTAAGAGGCGAAAGCTCCTCCTCCTCCTCCCTCTCCTGCTCCTGCTCCTCCTGCTCCTCCTCCTCCTCCTCCTCCTCCTCCTCCTCCTCCTCCTCCTCATCCTCCTCCTGCTCCTCCTCCTCCTCCTCCTCCTCCTCCTCCTCCTCCTCCTCCTCCTCATCGAGCATCAAGAGTGTCAGAAATCTGGGCTAGCTTTCCACAAGTTTCGAACGACAAGCCTGGGCAAGAGATGAGCGATAACGCTGGAAGGCCAACGCGCTCCAGAAACTCGGCCAGCTTTGCGGCAAGTTGGCTCAGATGCGCTGGCCCAGCTTTTCAAGACGGCATTTCTTAATCAGATGCTCGACTTTAGAGCGTTTCCCCTTCCACCCCCTTTCTTCCCCTTCGGAGTGGGGCTCACCCCTCCCCCTATCCCCACCCCCCGGAACGGAGAGGAGGTTTCGCGGGTCGCAAGAAGGCAACAACCACGAATTCCTCTCAAGGTGTTGGTCATATGTGGGCCTCCTGGGGGGGACCCTAACGTAGTACGGTCCCTCCTGTGATCGATCTCCTCCAAGATGGCCCCGAGATGGCCCCCGAGGCTCCCGAGGGTGCCCCAAGAGGCCCCCAAAACGCCCCCAAGATGCCCCCAAGAGAACCCCAAGATGCCCAAGAGGCCCCCCAGCGGCACCCAAGACACCCCAAGAGGCCTCGGCGAGAAGGCCAAATTCATCGATGTTGCCCAGGTTTTGGCCACATGTTGGCCTCCTGAGGGGGGACCCGAATGAAGGAACCCTTCTCCCGTGGTCGATCTCCTCCAAGATGGCCCCGAGATGGCCCCCGAGGCTCTCAATGGTGCCCCAAGACGACCCTAAGAGGTGCCCAGGAGGCCCCAAGGGGCCCCCAAGATGCCCCCAAGAGGTTCCCAAGAGAACCCCAAGGAGGCTCCAAGAGGCCGTCCCAGAGGCACCCAAGACGCCCCAAGAGGCCTCGGCGAGAGGCTAACGTCATTGACTTTACCACGAATTTGGCCACATGTTGACCTCCTGGGGGGGGGGGTGGCGGGGCAATGTAGTACGGACCGTCCTTTGATCTACCCCTCCAGGATGGCCCCCAAATGACCCCCGAGGCTCCCAAGGGTGCCCCAAGACAGCACAAAGAGGTGGCCAGGAGGCCCCAAGAGGCCCCCAAAACGCCCAAAAGATGCCTCCAAGAGGCTCTCAAGCCTCCCAAGTGACCCCCAAGAGGCCCCAACAGGCCCCCCAGTGGCACCCAAGAGGCCCCAAGAGGCCCCCAGGATTGCCAAGAAACCTCCAAGACGTCCGAAGAGGACTCCAAGAAGCTCCCGAAAGACATCCGAATAGACTCCGAGAGGCATCATGAGTCATGAGGCAGCTTGCCTTTCTGCTTGCCCTCCTCCTCCTCCTCCTCCTCCTCCTCCTCCTCCTCCTTCTCCTCCTCCTCCCTCTCTTGCTCCTGCTCGATCCTCCTCCCCCCTCCCTCCTCGATCCTCCTCCTCCTCCTCCTCCTCCTCCTCCTCCTCCTCCTCCTCCTCCATCCTCCTCCTCCTCCTCCTTCCTCATGCGCCTATTCCCTCTTTCTCCTCCTCCCTCATGCCCCTCCCCCTCGTCCTACTCCTCTTCCTGCTCCTTCGATTCCTCCTCCATCCTCCCCCTCTTGGGGTATGAAGCCTTACCCAACAATAAACTCCAACGCGCTGCTCCTCCACATCCCCGATCAAAGGAACTCGTCCGGGCATCGTTTTTGGATGGGTTTGAGTCTGTCGCGGGCGGCTGGTCTGGACGTGGGCCTGGGCGTCACGACGGATGGCCACGTATACTCTACCCGGCGCTGGAGCCGTCAATTCCCTCTTAGTGAAAGGATTTGGCCGTAGACTTTCTCTCACGGAGAAGATTTGGCCGTCAACTCTCCGAATTGACGAATCCCTTTGACGGCCTCCCTCCGGATAGACGAACCCCCATTGAATGAATGAATGAATGAACGAATGAATGAATGAATGAATGAAGGAACGAGGTGCAGTAAATGACTCAAGACGTGGACGAGTTCTGCTGGTGTGCGCGGCCCACCATGATGCTACGATGGGATGTGGCCTCGGTGCTACGCGCTCTCCAAGGAATGGCACGGCCCGGTGCCAATGACATTAGATTGAACGCCAAGCGCGCCAAATATGTCGCAACGCTTTGACGGCTCGGGGCCGAAGAGGAAAGGCCGAACGCCGAAGACCCAAGCAGGACAGGATTGAAACCTCCGGCCTATCCCTGGCACCTCCGAAAAAAACCTGTAACAAGCAAGTGTCATCAGCATCACCTTGCTGGTAGATTGCGAGGGTGCGGGCCAAGTGGCGCGCCCCCCGCCTCCGAGAGATTTGCGGACACATCGTGAATGGAAGCTTGAGGTGGTCATCCGGTCTCCACCGATCGAGGGCACGTTTGATCGCCCTGGGACTGCGCGCAAAAGACCCATCAAACCTGCATAAGACGATTCGCCTGCTAGATGGAACCCGCGGACGAGGGCGGGCGAGAGCCATGAACGACGGCGCGGGAGAATCTCGCACATGTACGCGGCAAGGACATGCCTTCCAGAAACGGTCCCTGAACGCAGTCACGCACGAGTCGGCGGCGCGGCAGCTCGTATCCTGGATCCAAAGCTCTTCGGCCACGATGCGTGCACGTGCGGCGGGTGCGCCGAGGAGTCGCACAGCGGCACCCCTTACGGATGTGAAACCCACAACAACATTGTCACCTCAGTCACAAACCACAAACTGAGATCCAACGCGATCGTGTGAACAGGATCGATGGAAGCGATTAACAGATCAAAACAGTGGCTTCGAGCCTGTGTGCGTTGTAACATCTCGTGGAGCCGGTGGGGCTTAGAACTAACGCGCAGAATGTCATTGCGAAAACGGCCGTAGAAAACAAAGCCGTACTTGCGCTTCAAATCTGGACGGAGCACAACATGAACTTCGACCGTATTGTAAAACGCGAGATCCGAAACTTCGCCGCTGCAGCACAAGCCCATGCCAGTGCCCCGGAAGACTCTGTACAAGTAGGGGCGTGCACCGAAATCATCCGACAAACAGACACACTGGTTGCGGACAGCGCTGGACAACAACTCTCGGAATTGCTAACGGGCCTCAGCGACATGCCTTGTGCAGTCGGCGATGAGAAGGCCGTGCTCACCTGAAACGCAAGCACCTTTTTGATGCCAAGTTTGCAGAACACGCAGCCCTGGGGCAGAGCGAGCGCAGACAGCTGCCGTTGCAGCTGTTCTGTATGAGAGAGCAAATGCGGCATACAGTAGAGAACCTGTCTGCACCGCCACGCTACCCAGCGCATGCCAGGGCATGAGGCGCCGCGAAGTACAATGAAGCACTTTGCACGTGTTTTCACTGTCGGAGCCAGCACAGAAAACAACCGCGTGGGCTGAGGACGGAAATCATGCAGAAGGGCCTTCACCAGGTCGTCGTTGCGAAAGCCCTTGAGCGGCCTCACAATACTCAGACATCGCCTCCACCGCGCATTGCTCGCGCCATGCTACGCGAGAGTACATGTCAAAGGCCAGAACTTTGAGTTCCCCTCCAAGGATGACAGCCTTCGGTAGAATGGCAAAACTGCCGTCTTTGTCAGTGATGCTCGACGGCAAGATTGACAGCCATCGAGCACGGATGCGGCCTTCGGCGCCTGGAGGGTTCTGAGTAGACACTACGATGCGCCAGCGGGGACGGTGCTCCCGAAAATGCAAACTCGAGCCAACGTCCCTCAGGGACTGCGCTCGTGTGAAAGAACAAACATGTTTTCCATGTGACCGTCTCAACAGGAATTCCAAGGGCCAGGCGATGGCTCCAACGAGGGGACGCGCAGGCGACTCCCTGGGTAAAGTCAGCCATATACCATATACCACCCCGGTTCGCCGCGCCCTGCGTCGAACAGGACGTCGAGGTCAGCGGGCGACATCGCGCGGCACAGGGCGAGAAACTTGATTGCCACCGCGTCTGCCAGCAGCCGGTCCCCCAGCCTTTTCCGCTGCCTTTCGTCTTGCCACGCCCTGTGCATGTCTTGTCTTTGCGCGTGCCTTTGGCTTTGCTTTTGCGTGGAGCTTCCCCCTTGCTTTTGCCTCTGGTCGAGCCCGTGCCAGGCGGCCACGAAGGAGTCGAGTGCGGCCTGCCTTTGCCTTTGCCGTCGGCCTTGCCCTTTCCGACTGCATTGCCTTTGCCTCTGGCTTTGCCTTTGCCAGCCTCCGCGCCCCCGCTCGAAGCGGGGGCCTGGGAGTTGTGTGATGACGTCTGCCAAGTCGCTGGGCTGGATGTTGTTTCCCTTCTGGAGCTGCCGGACGTAAGCATCCGGGTGGGCGGTAGCGCCTGGGGCATTCAAGGATGAATATGTGTGCTTGCCCTGGGCCTCTCTCAGCTTCAAGCCGAGGGCAGTGCTCGGGTGGTCGGCCGGTCTCTTCTCCAGGAGGGCCTCGGCCACCCTGACTTTCCTGCTCTCCGCTTGTTTCCGCTTCTCCTCCTCCATCCTCCTGGCCTGCGCAGTTCGGTCCACGAGCTTCGCGAAGATGGCCTCGCACTTCGCGCGCAGGGATCCCTCCGAGCTGCCGTGCGGGCCGTCGTCGACCTCCAGAGGTCCAAGTACCTGGTGTTCCAGCCGCTGTCGATGGAGGTCCTCTCGGCCAGCAGACGGTCGATGAAGGCGTATTTCCTCGTGCTTTGCCGGGGGCGCGCCCGCTGCTCCTCCACGACGCGCGGGTCCAGCTCCCTGCACTTCTCCAGGTAGAGGGTGCGGAGCTTGCGCTTGGCGTCGAGGATCGTGCGCCCGCTGTCGAAGTGGACGGCGTAGCGCGTGCCCTGGAGCGTCACCGTAACCAGGAGAGCAGTCTCGAACCCGAGATTCGCAGGCTTCACGCCGGCTGGGATCGCGCCGCCCCTCAAGGACTGCAGTTCAAGCTCGAGCTTGGTCTTGCAGGCGCTTGTCCGCTGGAGGCTTTCGATGTTGGCGGCCAGGGTCGTGTTAACCTTTTTGATGGAGGGCGGAAAGCGCTCTTTCATATGTTGGGTTCCAGGTTCTTTCGGCACAGATTGTTTGATAACGCTTGCTCGGTATTAAGGCCAGGGGGCGGAGGGGGGCCATGCTGCGAGATGGTTCCTCAGTGTGTGTGTGTGTGTGTTGAAAAGTTTTCCTTCAACGACATTCACGCCCTTCAATGCTGGCCCTGCTAACGCCCTTCAATGCTGGCCCTGCTAACTCGCGCGCGTGCCGCTTGCATCACGAGCAGAACGAAACGAGACCGCGAAGGAGATCCGCAGCCCCGATCAGAAGAGGATGAAGCCGATGCTGCACTGTGCAGCGCTGCTCCGCCCAGGAGGAGGCAGCGACCCAAAAATGCCGTCGCAACACATCACCAGCTGGGATGGGAGAGACACGGAAAGAGTTAAAGGGGCCCTGGGACACACAAATAAATACACACAAATAACAGGATTCCCGATATCTTCCCATATGCTCTGGGTTTTTGTCTCCCCCCCCATTGTCCATATCTTCCCATATGTTCTGGGGAATCGACGATTAAGTGTGTCTGTGTGTGTGTGTCTTCCCCCCCTGAAGAGTGACCCTGGGCAAGAAATGACATCTGGCGCGCGGCTCTCGGGGAGCCGCGGAGGGGCCGAACCTAGGCGCGCAAGACACGCCCATCGCACCGCCTTCGGCGATCGGGGGACCTCGGCGGGCGGTGGACAAACCTCCCTTTAGTAAACCTCCCCTTAATGAAAACGGCCTGGGACCGAAACCGACGGAGCTGGACCCGCAAAAATGACGGCCGTGACGTCCTCTCGCGAACCGAAAACGGCCAATTCGCTAATCGACGTGTCGGGGTAGGAGGTCTATCAGCCTCCGAGGGAGATACAGAAGTGGGGGTGGCACGCAGAGCTAACGCTGCTTCACCTTCGCGAATCAGCGTTCATGCCGTTGCTTCCTCTTCGAGGACAGGGGACGGAGCAGCTCCGCCTTCCGAGCACGCCATGGACTTGTCGAAGTGGAAGATGACGTGGTCGTCGTCGATCCTACCCCGGATGCTGTAGAAGTAGTCCTGGCAGGGGCGAAGGAGGAGGGCCAGGACGACAGGGGGGGAAGAAGGAGGACAAGGGGGGCGAGGACATGAGTGAGGAGGAGGAAGATAGGAGGAGAAGGAGGAGGAGGGGCAGGAGGAGGAGGTGAAGGAGGGGCAGGAGGATGAGGAGGAGGAGCAGGAGGAGGAGGAGGAGGGGGAGGAGGAGGAGGAGGAGGAGGAGGAGGAGGAGGAGGAGGAGGAGGAGGAGGAGGAGGAGGAGGAGGAGGAGGAGGGGAGGAGGAGGAGGAGGCGGAGGAGGAGGAGGAGAAAGAAAAACGGGAGGAGAGGGACGAAGAGGAAGGAGGAGGAGGAGGAGGAGGAGAAGGAAGAAGAGGAGGTGTGACCATCCACTGCCGCTAAACCTACACACGTCCCGATTGTGCGTGCCATCCTTGCGCAAGGGCCATGTTCCAAGCCTCTGCATCGTTCCGGGTTCGCGGCCACGAAAAAGAGGAGAAGGGGATGGGGGCGAGATGGAGGAGGCGGAGGCGGAAGGAGAAGAGAGAGAGGAGGAGGTGGTGGATGGGGGGGGGGCAAGAAGAA